TTCCCAACTCTTGCACAACCTGCAGCAAGAGTTTGACTCCTTTAATTTTGACAAAAGCTTGCTTCGTGAGCTTTGGGTTCAAAAGCTGTCGAAGGCTGCCTGCATGGTCCTGGCACCATGCGTTGGCTTTCCCCTCAGCGTCGCGGCCGAAGTAGCTGACAACGCCATTTCTATCTATTCACAGGCCACTTCCTTCGGTTGTCATGCCATAGCCGACACAACCGACCAATCCGGCGCCATTACCACTGAACTGGTCGCTATTTCGGCTCGCCTAGACAGAGTTGAAAAGGCCACTTGACAGCCTCATCAAAGACCCCACTGGTCCAGAAGCCGGTCACGAGGTATCTCTGGGCGCTCACTCTGGGCCTCACCCCGCAGACATTTATGCTGGTACCACGACAAGTGGGGTGCCCAAGCACGCCGGTGCATCACCCCTTGCCAATGGTCAAGTCAAGTCAATTCAAGTCACGGAATGGCTTTATACACCTCGAGAGGTGGATATTCAGCAACCACATAACCAAAGTGTGTCAACAAAAAGTGAAAAATAACAACAGTTTAATACAATAATTAAAGGACATGATAAAGGATATCAACATCAAAAACCAATGGCATACCCGGGTGTTTATTATGAATTTATTTTAGCGTTTTGCGCAGATTTCCTGCAACGAGGTCATGGTATGTTAGAAAACTGGAGAGATAAGGGACAATAGACCACCTGTAAACTTCACTGCGTGTCTCTATAAGTTTATGAGTGAAACGAGTGGATGAGTGAGAAAGGCACTGACTAAGGACGGAATTATGAGGGTGGTAAATATTAGACAAAGTCTTGTTGGAGAACGTGTTACAGGACTTGATGTGATGTGTCACCACATATTGTACCAGATGTTCCCGTGGTATGAGACTACAAACTGACATAAGTTTTAGGGATCGGGAAAGGAGATTGAGGTACTTGGTAAAAAGACCAGGAGATCCATAAAGCCAATGAGGCAAAACGCACACAAAAGTGAAACGCCTTATGAGGTGGCCTAGAATGGAAAGTGATTTAAGACGTAAAATATAAAACGTGAGCCCCCTGACCTTCAGAAAAACCTAATTAACATGGTCAGACCAGGTTAGGTTACGACTGAAATTAACACTCAGATATTTGACAGAGGGTTGTCATTCCATCTGGTCACTGAGTATAGATAAAGGTGGACTGGTGTCTGATAATTCATCATACGTTTGCCTTTTTTTAAAAAAAGTACTTCATTACATTTTTTGGGGTTCGTGTCGAGGTTCCTTTGTTGAGACCACTAAACTAGTTCAGATACGTTTTCTTGTAGAGTCGTTTGAAATTGTGAGTTGAGGTAGGGCAGTCCGAATATTGTATCGTCTGCATACATGACGGGAAGCGAAGAATTGCTCACGGACATAGAGGAAATGTAAGCAGAAAATAGAAAAGAGGATAAAAGAGCGCCTTGTAGTACGGCTTTTGGGGAGGACAGCAGTGAAGATGCACGACCTTTATAGCGTGTGAACTGCTGACGGTTGGAGAAATAGTTGACCAAGAGTTCAATCGTAGAAGGTTGAACTCCGCCCGAAGAGAGGGTATTTAACAAAGTTTGTCAAGAAAAAATATGCGTACAGCCTTGCTTCTCTTATACAGGTTGGATAAAACAAAGTGGGAAAGATAAGCTAGGGCATCCAGGGGACCACGGGAATAGATGTATGCAAACTGGTTCAGGTCAACAACATTGAATTGTGTGGACAGGGTCTTAAGGAGGAGCTTCTCAAACACCTTCAAGATAACTGAGATGCAGGCAATGGGACGGAGTTTTGAGGATCCTTTCTTCGGTACAGGGGTGATAGAAGCTATTCTTCAGCAGTCGGGTATACTTTGATGCAAAATAAAATAATTGAAAAGTTCACTCAGTACAGGGGAAAAGAAGGCAGCACATTCTTTTAAGACAGCGGGTAAGACTCCGACGGGGCCGCAGGACTTGTGAGGATCTCACTGAGCCAAATCTTGATACATATCGACAGGCACAACGCTGGAGGCGGGATCAGTGGTATTTATTCCATATCCATTAGGTAGAGCAGTGAGATCGGTTCCACCGTTGATAAAACTCTGATTCAAACCATCTATGTCCACCGCAACAGGTGAGCGGTGTGAGGACTTGATGCCATAAATTCGCAAGAGGGCTTGCCAGGTCTCACAACTACCTTTGTTGTCAAGCAGAGCACGGGCATATAAAGGGTTTAGCCTTCGAAGTTCATCCCGAATGGATTTAGAAAGGGAGCGCACCTCTTCGCGCTTAGGCATTTTGAAGGCACGCTCCTTTCTACGACGGAGTTGTTCGAGGTGTGGGGAAGAGAATCAGTCCGAACGAATATAAATTGTCTCTGAGGCACAACAAACATCGCAACAAACGTTTAAGTAGCTTGTTGATTGATCACAGAAAACGTAAGGGTTGGGATCAGAAAAGACAGTAAGGTCAGAGTGTCTGATCATTTCCCTTAAAATCGTGAGGTTTCCTGGAGAACGCTGTCTTACTTGAAGCTTGTGATCACGACTTCGAGTAAAGAGACAATGGTTCGTTCTGCTGAAGATGGTAAGGAAAAACTGCAACATTGAATGATCAGATATTCCCAATGGGGGATGGTGTTCTACAAGAAGTAAATTGAAAGGTTGATAAAACCCAAATACAGCTGTACATTAAGCCTAATGGGGAAGGTAACAACGTTTTGAAGACCTTAGGTGGTTAGGAAACGGGTATCGGAATTATTTAAGTCACCACAGACTGAAGTATCTACATACTCAATCATTAGGGTTGAAAGAGAGTCATAAAAATCATTAAGAACATGAGTTGAGCAAGAGGGAGCCATAAACACATTTACAAGAATAAGTAAACGAGAAAAACTAAAATGTCTGGGCTTACACTGAATTGCTGTTGCGTTTATATAACGTGTGGAATGAGAAAACACATTTTTGGTCAGATGACACCATTGATTTTTGAAAAACGTGATGACGCTACATCCTCGTCAGGAATAAGGGACAATACGATCGACACGATAGCTAACGAATCCATCAGGTGTGTTAGTTCATACTCAATTTCAGTGTGGAGCCAACTTTCTTGTAGAATGATCACACCTAGTTGGACATATTCCCGTTGCTTGATTAAGCTGGTGAGGTCGGCCATATTTCCGATAAGAGATGGAACGTTAGAACTGAGAATGATGGGAACACAAGCGGGAGATGGTTCGTTTCCAAAGGGCAACTTTCCAACCGGCTCGATGCTTCCTCGGATTTTTCGAAAGCTTCCTGAACGTCCGTTTGATTTTATTCCTTATAGTCCTCCCAAAAGAGGTTGTTACTGCACATTTGGTCCATTTGATGGAATACATGAAATCCCGGGTGTATTTGATCAAATTTGTCATTAATGTAGTAGCACAACAGCCGCCTTGGCAACCAAGGTAAAAGTTCACACGAATGATGCAAAAACTCAGACAGTTATGTGAATTATCTGATGATGGAAAAACGGATAGCTCGGCCAAAATTCGAAGGCCCCGCCGGTCGTCGGGGTCGCTCAAGCAAGAAAAAGGACCGGTCAACTAGAAGGAGTGGCACTACTCGTTGGCCCCAAACCCGGTAGCCGCCTCTTGCACGTACAAGATAAGCTTACCAGGGCTTATTTTTAGTGGATACGGGAGTTGAATTTAGTGTCGTTCCACCGAATATCACAGAATCCCTATTCTCACAACCACCCCCTGTTTTGTCCGTTGCTAATCGAACCCCTAGTAGGACCTAAGGTAATAGACGGCTCGCTGTCTCTTGACTGACCTGGAACGTAATTTTACTGTCCATGGTCAAGCAACTACGTTTAACTCCATTGATCCGTTTTTCGCAAGTTTCCTCCTGGTCCT